TGGGGGGGGGGGGGGGGGGGGGGGGGGGGGGGGGGAGAAGTTCACTATTTCGCCTGGGCAAGGCCCGACCTGTCCCCTCCCCCACACACATGCACCCCAAAATGTCTTGAGACATCAATCTTTCCAGTCTCTCACATATATTATAGATGAAATTTTGAATCAGAAAACAAGAAGTTTTTAATGTGGTTGATGTGGTTGTAATAATATTGAAAATTAAATTGTATTTAGACAGTGTGCAGTAGTATTTTAGTTTTTTCAGCAAGAGAGAAGGAAAATATTTAATGATTCACTGTACATGTATGATTTTTGACCATTGGCAGAGAAATTGTGGTTTTCAGTTGCCACATAAATTTTTATTTATACCATTTAGTAGTTTCAGGAAATATTAATAGTTGTTAAAATATCTTAGGGTTTGACCTTCATTTGAGATTAAATTTAACCTAATGTTTATCTTTGTTTTTATTTCTTTAAGGCCCTGTTGAATTTCAGGAATGTAACACATCCAGTGCAATTGAAGGTGAGTTGTTGTAGCATAGTTATTTACCTAAGAATCCTGTAGATAGGACATGAGGGTGAGGAGGGAAGGATAGTAACATGTTAATTTCTATATTCCAATAGACCAAAAAGCCGGGTTTTTTTTAAGAAACAAAATTCCATGGAAATGAGACCTACAATACTTTATGAGGGTAGGTTTAGATTAGCTATGAGGAAGAAATTCTTTACTGTGAGGATGGTGAGGCACTGGCACATGTTGCCCAGGAAAGCTGTGGCTGCCCCATCCCTGGAAGTGTTCAAGGCCAGGTTAGATGGGGCTTGGAGCAACCTGGTCTAGCAGGTATTCCTGCCTATGGCATAGGGCTGAAACTAGATGATCTTTAAGGTCTTTTCCAACCCAAACCATTCTGGGTTTCCATGATAAGCCTTTTGACTGAAGCAAAGGAGATACATGTTCAGAAACTACTCTCACATTCCATTTGTCTTTGTTTTGAGCAGGATATAACACAGAAAGGAACTAAATCCCAGACTAGCATTTAAAAATAATTTTGAAGCAATTTCTTTCTATATTAAACTGAAAGATATGGCTGAATTTAAAGCTACCAGATTTGTGAGAAATTTTGAGTTATTTCACCCTGAAAATTTCTAAAAGTGAAGAGATTCCTTATGTGCTGTGTAATGTATTTCTGTAAATGGGAATACTGAGGGTTTTTTAATGACATGCTCAAATTGTCCATTGTTAAATTATAGAAAACAAATTATTTCCACCATTTTGCTTAAAGGCTTGCAGTAGGTAGTATCTTACATCAAAATAAGACTAGTTGGATTGGATGCTTGCACTTGGTCATTTTGTTTCAAGTTTGGCAGTCTACTTTGATTCAGCAAAAAATGGGGACAGAAGCAAACATGACAGTAAGTCTGATGGAATATTAAATTTATTTTTAGTACATTAAATAAATGGATACGAAAGCAAACCTTTTTCTTTGCTAAAGCTACATATATCTGGTACTAAAAATAAGGAAGAAAAGATAGAGAGAAGGCACGTTTCCAGACTCAGTGGAGGCCAGCATTGAAGCTGGCTACGACACTGGGAAATCATGAACTCAGCATCAGCTGGGAAGCCAAGAGATGTTAGGTTTTACAGGACCAAGATCCTACTTTTTTAAAAGAGACAGGGGCTTGCAGGTATCAGGAAAATGCAGGGAAATAAGAACAGGGTAGAACTGCAGTAGCTGAGAGAGACAGGATTCAGTTTCTGACCCAAGTCCATTAGCTATTCAGAATTGGCTGGATCAATAGCTCCTGTTGAGCTTCTGTGAGCAGAGTTCCTTTCCTCAAATCTGGCAGTGCATCCATCTTCCATAAAATAAGTGGCAGTCTAACATACCCAGCTTGGAGAGTTGGATGTAAAATAAAGATGAGTTTTATAAAGGCTTATGTTATTAATGTGTTGCTTGAACCATATTTTAATTTTTTTTTATGAAGCTGATGTGTTTTAACCTCAGTAGGCAACTCAGCCCCACAAAGCCACTCTCCTCTGGTGGGATGGGGAAGAGAATCAGAAGGGTAAAAGTGAGAAACCTCGTGGGTTGAGACAAGACAGTTTAGTAGGAAAGCAAAAGATGTGTGTGCAAACAAAGCAAACCAAGGAATGAATTCACTCATTTCCCGTGTGCAGGCAAGTGTTCAGCCACCTCTGTGGGAGCAGGGCCTCGTCATGCATAGCAATGAGAAGACAAACGCCATCACTCTGAACCATCCCCTTTTTCTCCTCCTTCCCCTAGCTTTATTACTGAGCATGATGCTATAGGGTCTGGAATATCCCTGTGGTCAGTTGCAGTCAGCTGTTCGAGCCGTGTTCTCTCCCAACTTCTTGTGTGCCCCCAGCCTAACCACTGGTGGGGTGGGATGGGATGAGAAGCAGAAAAGGCCTTGGCTCTGTGTAAGCCCTGTGCAGCAGTAATGAAAACATCCCTGTGTTATTATCACTGTTTTGAGGACAAATACAAAACACAGCCCCATATCAGCCACTGTGAATTAAATTAACTCTGTTCCAGCACAAACTGGCACATTATGCTACTGAACAACATATTGGAATAATTTTCTCTTATTCTTTTGTTCACTTAGTTTAGCTCCATACCTACCTTCACTGTTAGATTTTTGTATCATTTGTCATTGCAGCATTTAAAAGGTCTTGGCATTGGTATGCACCAGTGTCTGACATTGACATATATACTCATTTATTTGATCTCTAAATCAAAAGTGTTTGCTTCACAGGGATAAAACCACGAAAGAGGAAGCCATTTGGTTTATCAGGGATTATGAAAAAAGAAAAAGACATTGAGTCCATGTAAGTATATTTCCAGCTTGAAACCTTGTCATATATGAAAACTAGCTGATGTGTAACAAAAAAAAGGTTTTATAACAAGTTTAGAGGAGTGCCATGAATATTAAAACATTGCATCTATTTAACATTTTTCTAACTAAGGATCTTAAGGAAACTTACTCGTGTTTCATTCTGTCCTCTGCAGAGGTAAGTAGTTATCCCTTGTTCTACATTTGAACATTGTAGATGTGAGAGACAACTGCTCACTTTAAAAATTTTAAAAGGTTAATTAATCCTTAACAAAAATACAACAAAAGGACTAAATGAGGAAAAATTGCAGTGCTGGGAACTGCCTTTGTGGCTGCCTACCACATGGCCAGTTCATCTTCAAGATGGATGCTCAGTCTTTTATACTCCTGGGGGTTGCATCAGCCAACCCTGGCCCCTCCCAAAGTCTGTCAGTCAGCTCTTCTTTGCCATTTATTGGTGGAGATTGCTTTCTTGTAACTTGATTGGAGGGTCAGGCATTGTCATGCCGTGACCCCCTAGCAACAAGCTTTTCCATTCCCAGCTGCCCCATGGAAGGAGCACATGTGCATGCCTTCTTTCTACTTGCCCTAGATAATGCAGGCTGTCTGATGGTAACAATACAGAGGGGGTGGAAAAGTGAACTATGGGGAGAACAGAGGACATCTAAACTACAATAACATAACCATACATCACTAAAGCTTCTCTTAATATTCACACAGTATTCATCTCTTAATTGCGAGAGCCAATCATCTCATTATCCATATATAACAAATCCCCCTTTTCTAAGTTATTTGGCTTGAGTAATTAACTCATTTTTAATAGTATCTGTTGATGTGGGTGAGGACAGTGGAAAATGGTTTTAAGCAAAATGATTGGTAGAGTTTGTGAACAGAGGTCCAGTATGGCTTTTACCCCTACCTACCATGCCTAAAGGGTTGCTGCATGCAGCAGGGTTATTATAATCTTCTCAGTGGCGAGTACAGGGGCCAACCTGGTCTTGCCCTCTGGTTCTCACTATACTTCAGTTTTAAGCGAATAATTTTAATGTTTTTCACTGTTCCTCCCCTTAACAGATACTTGTAATTTTCATAGGACAATTATATTAATGACTAATAAAATTTAAATTCTCTGTTCAAAATGTTACTTAAACAGTTATCTAAAGCACTTAGAGTAGTCATGAGGCTTTCACTTGTTTTTCACAAAGTACAGTAACAGGGGAGTAGTGTTAGTCTATCAATATATTAGAATGAGTTCACACATTTATGAGTTCTAACAAGTCTACAACAAAATTAAGGCACGAGGATAAGAATATAAATAACAGCAGTTTGAATGGGTTGGTTTGTATCTCTGTTATAAACTAAGTTCAACTCTACATATTGTACACAGGGAGTTAGGGGCTTCTCTGGTCAGTAGAGCTCAGTAGTGAAACATACACATTGACACACACAAACACACACGTCTGTTTTCTCAGGTGGGGCAGCAGCCGGATGCGTGGAGCTGTGCATCCAGAGCCGTGTTTCTGGGCGTGCTCAGCCCACGTCTGCATATAGCGGTATGTGCAGAACTAGTACACACACACAGGTACTTGTTTATTGGTATAGAGCCTTGGCGTACAGAGGTACCTGTCAGCAGCACACACTTGTACACACACACAGAGCTGTGCACACTCTACTTGCACACGCTAGCACCCGTGTGCCACAGAGACACTCACTTATGTACAGTCTCTACTAATGCAGGCGTGCTCACAAACACAAGACTTGCTCATACGTAGAACTTGTGTACATTAACACAAGCATATAAATCTGTGCACACTAATATGTGTAATGTCATCAACACACATTTCTTACACAGTGCTATGCTCACACTTGCAGAACCTGTGCACACTCACAAACATAGGGTTGTGCACAAACTTAGTCGCACCTGAGAGGGGGTAATTTAACACACATGTATACAGTAATGCACACAACACGTGTACACCTTGGTACTTGTGTGTGCACCCACAGCTGTGCACACCGGCACACTCAGGTATTGTATGTGCAGACTCACACACCTTGGTACTGGTATAGAGCCTTGGCGTACAGAGGTACCTGTCAGCAGCACACACTTGTACACACACACAGAGCTGTGCACACTCTACTTGCACACGCTAGCACCCGTGTGCCACAGAGACACTCACTTATGTACAGTCTCTACTAATGCAGGCGTGCTCACAAACACAAGACTTGCTCATACGTAGAACTTGTGTACATTAACACAAGCATATAAATCTGTGCACACTAATATGTGTAATGTCATCAACACACATTTCTTACACAGTGCTATGCTCACACTTGCAGAACCTGTGCACACTCACAAACATAGGGTTGTGCACAAACTTAGTCGCACCTGAGAGGGGGTAATTTAACACACATGTATACAGTAATGCACACAACACGTGTACACCTTGGTACTTGTGTGTGCACCCACAGCTGTGCACACCGGCACACTCAGGTATTGTATGTGCAGACTCACACACCTTGGTACACATGTACCCATAGATACACACTGGCACATATGTGTAAAGCACTCCCCAGAGCTCTTCTGGAAAGAGAGTAGTAGAATATCGACTGTTTGTTACCACCTTGCCACTTCTAGGCAGTATTTTACCCTCTGTGCCTTTGGGGTGGGATCAGACAGTGTTGTTTTAAAGGAAAGGTTAAAGAAAGACTATGTTGGATTCTTGTCTCCTGTCTCTTACCCTACAATGGCAGGAGGGCACAAAACTGAGCACTTTTTGTTGTTTCGTCTTTCCTAGGGGCTTGATCGGCATGAAGGAGAGGTCATTTATTTAGATTGTGGAGATTGGGACAAGTACTTCTCTTACAAAGAATAATTTCAGCATAACAAGTATAAAAAATTTGGCTTATCTCCTTTATAAGGAAGAGATGTTTCTCCTTTGAAATTAATACAAGCTAGAACCAGAGAGAAAGGCACTGAAAAGAGAGAGAACAAGGCATAGCACTGGCTGTCACCTGTTCTCAGAATGATGAAAATACTGAGACACTTTCCAGTCGATGAGACTGAAGGCTTTGAAATGAAGAGGTGCCAAATTTTCAAATTCTCTGTGTTCCCATGGTATACATTAATATGTCTCATCCTGTACCTCTATTCCTTTAAGGCCAAGTATAGATTTGTTGTATCTTCTCTGAAGAGGGCAATACAAAAACCAAACCTAAGTCCCCTTCCCCCAGCTGCTTAAATAAGAAGCTATCTTTCCTCTCGTTAGGCAAAATTCAAGAGGATTTCTGATATAATGAACAACATTTAGAAATACAAGAAAAAAAATTCTTATTAAACTAGTTTCTGAATTGCCTAAATTATTCAATACAATTAGGTAGTGCATCAAACCCCCCACACAGAAAGAACAGCTCAGATCTTCCTGATATCTTTAAGATGTCATGTATAAATAGAATCCAGAATTGTTAACAGCGTTTCTGTGCAAAGTTTCCACAAGGTATTTGGAAACTGCTTTCTCTGGAAGGCTTTGCAAGTTTGCAAATGAAGTCATTTCAAATGCACTAATGAAAGCAGAATGTTAGTAGAGGTTTCCTAACTTATCTCATATTTTCAATTACAATTGGATCTGCATACAAAATCTATCAGTAATGTACAACATCTAAATATATGACAGTGAATAAGTAATCCTTACAAGTGTACTGTTCAAAGAGTAAATAAATAGGTTATGGCATTCCTCACCCTTTACACAGCTACACTGTTATGTTTTGTTAAGGGATACTTCTTACCTTTTAACTAAAAGGAGGGGTAGTTGTGGGCCCTATCATTGTGGAGGTTTGTTCACAGTTCATTCTAATTACAGGCTCTCTAGACAGAGCCTGCCTCTCTGATAGACTACAGGCTTTCCTGACAGAACCCATCTCTCTGATTAGTTAGAAGGAGAGAGAAAGAATGAAAAGAGAGGGAAAAAAAGAGAAAGAAGAAGCTTTGCCTTCTTCTTGGAAAAATAAAAGCAAATCATTAGCTTACACTCTTGGAACACTAGTGGAAGCAGCTGCTGAGCCACTCATGTGGTGCTCTCATATTTGCACGGTTCCACGCTGGTGAACATCGCAGGGGAGTCTCTGCAGCCTGGTGCCCCTGGGCCAGCCCCACCAGGTGCGGCTGCCCCCCGCATCCTTGAGTTGCCGCCCTCTCCCTGTCGAGCTGGCACTGTGCCTTCACGCGTCCCCGCTCCGCATCAGCTCAGCCCAGTTCTGGTAGGTGACTGAGAAGCCCCTGCACAACCAGGAGTTTTCGACTCTCAGCGGTTTCCACGCAGAATGCGTCCTGCGGCATCACCCCCAGGCTAGTGACCTCTGTGGTCCACAAGGTCCTCGCACAACCAACCCAACCTGCAGCAGCGCTGCACCCAGCAGCCGCCCCTCGCCACCCGCGGCCCCCACCGCCTGCGGCTCCACGCCTCCGTATCTCTCGGTCCACGAGAGTGCAGCCCCCACCGCCAGCAGCCCGCACCGACAGACCGGTGGCTCCGGGCTCCATCGCCCGGACCCCCCAGCAGCACCAAGCCCAAAGGGTCTCGGCACCCTTGGCTCTTGCTGCTGCTGGCCCCATGCCTCCAAACTCCCCCGGTCTACCAGCGCAGCCTTCGCCACCAGCAGCCCCGCACCGGCGGCTCCAGTGCATCTGATGGCTGCGGTCACCCTCAATTGGGTCGGAACTGCTGAAAGCCACTGCCCTGGATGCTCCTGGCCTGCTACTGCCCATGCGGGCCTGCGTGGTCCCTGGCTTGGAAACCCCACACACTCGGCAAAAGTTGCTGCCAGCAGCCCTCCCGCTGCCCATGGCCTCCCGCCGCCTCCGGGTGCCATCACCCACATGGCATCTCGATCTCACGGCTCCACAGGGAAGCCACGGTGGACCCCGTGCCCCGGCCTGGGGACACCCACACCTCAGCCGGTCTCTGACCACCAACAGCGCCGCGTGCAATCTCGGCACCG